TAAGATCTGTAAGAATATATAAAATAATTATAAAATTCCAAGTTTTTATATTTCCTCCTACTTGACTGGTAAAATATGATAGCTTGAGTAGGCAATATCCCCATTTCTGGGGGAATTTTAAAATAAACAGACCAGAAAATAAATGTTTCTCTGATAAACAGAAAATAAACATGACAGAAGATGGCTGTGTTATGTTTTTTGCCTTTTAATGTTTCACCAAGCCTCCTGGAACCTTTGTATGCTTTGCTCAGAAAAAGGTGAAGTCTTCTTTGAACTCAATGCCAAGTTTTTCTGATACATTATTTTTTCCGTAAAATCATTTCGAACCAACCAGTAATTTTAAGGTTTTGTTTAAATGTAAGCATTCAAACTCACATCATATTAAAATTTAGCTCTAAAATGACCCCCCCCACACACAAAAAAGCTTCACCTAAAACGCCTCCCACGCTGCTGATTCATTTTTGCTCGAGGAGCCACACCATCAACAGCCATAAAGAACACTTTTCTAGGCTTAATAATTCGAAACAACACCTCCAAGTAGTGAAAAATGTCAGTAAAGATTTTGTCATCTGAAATTCTGAAGTGGACATCATCGTCGTTAGGATGAGAGCACTGATGTATAATTCCATTCATATCCAGGTACAAGTTGTCAAATTCAGGAATCTAAAAGACAAAGACACAGTTCAAGATTATTAACCATAACATTAACCATAACAGCGGTTCCATGTAAAGTGATTGTTCAGTGATAAAAACTGAATGCCAGGCATTCTGATTATTATAAAGAAATAAGAGTGGAGAATCACAGTTCAATAAAGATAGTAAAGAAAATATGCAGAATTGCAATATGAAGACATGTTATAGTTAATATAATGTTTCTTTTTTTATGATCATTAAAGTATTTAAAATGTTCTTAAACAACTCAAATGTCTTTTTATAGGATGTAAGTAAAATAAATCATGGCAAAATCATTCAATGAACCACTGAGCTGCAGACAATTAAAAAATGAGGCAAGTCTGTGTATAGTTGTGTGTAAAATGTCCAAGGATATAACACGAAGTGAGGAATTTGCAGAAGAATATCATTTTGTGATCCAGTTGCATAAAAAGCTCATATACATGCAACTGTTAGCAGTAGTTTTTTTTTCTAGGAAGCGTAACGGGGCACCAGCGCTAACATGTGGAGAAGATGGTGCTAAAAAACAGCTGGTGGCCATGAGCTTCAGATCCTCCGCCCCGCATACACGTGGATGCAACGCGCATGCGTGACTGCTACATCCTTGCGCTGTGCGTGCTTTAGTTTGTTGTGACTTTCATATTTGAGCAGTTTTCTTTTGAATTGACTGAATTTCAATATTAAAATTTCAATTTAAATGTACAGTCCACACAGTACTTTTCATTGGTATGTTCATTCATGCAAATAATTTGTTTCTTCAGTTACAAGCATATGATTCAATATGTTGGTCTTCAGCATTGATTTGGGAGGTAGGATGTGCTTTTACTGGATTAAAATATGTGGTTCTTTTTTTTTTTTTTTTTTACTTTTAGTTTTCTTTTTTTTTTTTTTCCCATAATTTTATTGAGAAACAAATAGCAATGAGACAGTTTCAAATCAAATTGGTAGGTCAGTTTCAATAATTAACACGTTGCATACATTCTTCCTGGTGGTTAACTGCTGTATAAGATGTGGAAATGATATCCTATTTACAAACACCATTAGAACAAATCCCTCTATTCATTATGAGAATGTAACTATATATCTATCCCAACCACTTTGAATACACAGATACAAAATGTATATTCATCTGTATCCCCTGTTTTTGTTAAGTTCCGTTATTTGAATATTATAGGTATGTAAACTCAGCAAAATATTCTAAAAGAGTCCAGTAGCCCCTAATAGTATTAGGTCTTCCGCTTGACTGGCAATGTCAGAAATTGTTGACCTGAGTCCCCTACAGCTCAACCTAACAGCATGGCTTTACTTCTTATATTTCGTTTTTATACTTTTCTGCTGGATGGTTAAGACCAAGGTAAAGCAGGACCTATGCAACAAGAGTTGGAGCTTTTGGGTCTGATAAGGTCAGTGAAATCCCCTCAGGACTTATCCTGAGATCCTGTACCTCAGACTGTAGAACTTTTGTCAGTGTCAGCCATGTGGATGAGTCACGGAATATAATGTTTCAATAGCTTGATCAAATTTATGGCCAGGAAACGATTTACTCAGACAAAATAAGATATCACAGGAAAACAAATAAAATGCTTGGTTCATTTGATACTCAAAATATTAGTTTCCTTCCTTTCTACTACTACGTAATAACTTCTTGCAGCTGCCTTGTTTTTGGTCTTTTCTGATTTTACTGTATTTTTTTTTTTTTTTTTTTTTTTTTTTTTTTTTTTTTTTTTTTTTTTTTGTTTTTTGTTTTAGGGAAGGCTTATTTTTTGGTTTTGGTGCCGAGGACTGAACTCAGGGCTTCTCGCTTGCTGGCAAGCATTCTACAGTTGAGCCAAATCCCCAGCTTGGTAATAACTTTTTAAAGCCTCAGTTTCTTCTATAAGTGGATAACAGAATGCTCATTTTATATCAAATGATTGTATGTACATGTTTATTGTAAGGTTTTAAAAATGATTTAAAGCTTTTTTGTATATTTGATTTCACTATCACAGAGTCATCTGATTTGGTTACTTTTTTTTGTTACATTATTTCTTACAACTTTATATTATGCCAAGAAGTTTAGAATATGTTAAGTGTCAGATGTGAAATACGGATTAATTTCTAAATTTTGACTAGCAGGCAGACCTTAATGGCTCTGGCTTTCATTTACTTTCTCTCTTTTTAAATGTTTGTGAGTAACAAAGGGGAGTACTATCAAAGCAAATATACATGAAGAGGGACCTGAAATGGGCAAAATTAAATTGTTAGATTATGTATTGTAATCGAAGTTTAGAGGAAAGTCTGCTTCATGTGATTAAGAAAACTGCTGGCTAGGCAATGTGTGGAACATGTTATAGTCCCAGCATTTAGAAAGCTGAGGGAGAAAGATCCAAGTTCAAGTTCAGCCCAGACTACCTAGCAAGACCCTATCTCAAAATAAATAAAGACAGAAAGACAGGCAGGCAGGCAGAAAGAAAAAGAAAGAAAAAAGGAAAGAAGGAAAGAAAGAAAGAGAGAGGAGAGACAGAGAGAGAGAACTTTGACTTTCTAAAAATAAAATCAGAATCTTGGCATAAACATAATGAAAACCACTTCTGAAAGATTGAATTTTAAAACAGGTAACAATACAGAGGCTGTTGAAAAATGAAGTCAATGTCTAAATTTTAAAAATCTTATTACAGTAGGAGACCTTTTTTTTTTTTTTTTCTGGTGCTGGGAATTGAACTCAGGGCCTTGTGCTTGCCAGGCAGGTGACGTGCTGCTGAGCTACATCCTCGCCCCAAATGGGTCATTGTTAAGAATGATGTAATAGGGGACAGGGAGATGGCTCGGTAGAATAAGTGCTTCCCTGACAAGCGCAAGGAAGGGTCTGAGTTCAATTCTCGGTTCCACCAAAAAAAAAAAAAAAAAAAAAAAAAAAAGGATGAGATAAGAGCCGGCCAGACAGTTCAGTAGACTAAAGCGCTCGCTTAGGCAAAGCACAGAGAATGAGGTTCAATCCCTGGGGTGCCCTGCCAGCCCCGCCCCTGGGGTGCCCTGAGACAGGGACTGAGATTGGGCGTGACAGCGCATGCCTGTAGTACCAGCCCTTGGGAGGCTGAAAACAGGGGAATCACTATGAGTCTGATCTATGTAATGGGACCCTGTAGACCCTGTACTTTTTTTTAAAAATAGGATAAGTATGCTCAAAATGTGGGGAATATTCTGGGAATTCTGAAGGGTATTAGTAAA